CTGGAGCCTGGCTCGCAAAGGTCCAGGATCGAGTGGGTGTGAGCAGCCTGGCAAGTCACGCTACCGGTGGGGGTCAAGGACTGCTGACATGCCGTGTGATCTTGGGCAGCCCACTTAACCTTTGCGCCTCTCTGTTCTTGTCTGTAAAATAATGGCGATACTTGCCTCACGGCGAGTTGGGAGGCCCAAATCAAAGGTGTTGCACAGGGCTTCGAGATCTTTAGGTTAAAGGAAAGGTTAGTAATAATAGTTCTAAGTGCTGACCTGTCACAAAGAACTTGCAACTCGGAGGCTGGCTGACCTCTTACCTGCTGCAGAGGTTTGCAAGCAAGGCGGATTATAGGAGGTCCTGCGGTTTCCTGCATCTTCAGACTTGATGTAAAGCAAGACACTGTGTGCTCCCTCTGCATCGTCATTTATGAAACTAATCACACAATTACCTGCAGGCATGTGTTAAATATGACACTGGTCTCTGCAAAATAATGGGCCAATTGCAAACAATGAATAAAGAGAGGCAGCTCCATTTATAACTGCTGTTTCAACAGAGCTGTGTTGTAATCAAAGTGATCTGAGGGTGACTCATTAATTAATTGATGTTCTTTTTTATTATGTGCTATTGAGTTAATGAGTAATTTGTGCTAGATAACTCTCTGAACACACTGATTACGTGAGATATTTTCTGGGGCTTTCATACCAATGACATGCTGAATAGGTGGAAGATGGTATTTGCTTATGTATACTCATTATTAGCGGGTTCAGGATGAATATGAATCAGCAGAAGGGCATTTTAAAAGGTATTAGATACATGCAACCCTTACTTTAAGGCTTTAAGCAGATATTCTTCAGCTTTTAATGCCTTAAATAGTATTAAAATCACTTCCTTTATAATACTTCTGTCACCCACAATTGGCAGCTCTAGAAAGGGTGCCTACACAAAAGATTTTTACTGGGAGTATGTTTGTGCTAATGGCCTATTACTTTGCACATATTGTATTTTGGTTTCCTTTTGCAAAGTACTGAAGTGAACAGTAAACAGGTTTGGTCTGCATCATTGGGCTGAAGTAGGAGAAATGTATTAAGTGAATATGTAATTGGCTTTTTTTATCTAAAGTGGTATTTAAAAGAATAAAAACACTGTTCTTATATACAGTACACACTTTGCTTTTTGTAGTTTGAGTTGTTAAAGCTTTTGCTTTATTGAAACCACAACATCTCCAATGCCATAGGAGTTTTTATTCATTAAACAACAAATGGCTAAATTGATAATTTAGTCTGACAACAGCAGCACAGTTGAAGCTTTCAGAAGAATCAGCTAAATGTATAAAATTATACCCAGCAATCACTACAGACCTTCATTTTTTGACAAGATTTGTTCTAGGTACAGATGACTATAAACTACCTACCGCTGAGAAAATTATAAGAAGCTGCTGTATATTACGATGAAAAAAGCCTTTAAAGTACTTTTTGCAGGCTAAACCCTACCAATCCCTGTTTGTTTTTTTTCTTTTTCCCACTGTCTCCCTTCTCACTGACCACTTTTCCATCTGTTTTCCTAAAGTCATTTTATATGTATGCAACTGGGAACATTTGAGGGGCGGGGGGTGAATTTTCTTTCTTTATTTACTTTAAATGAGCTTAAATTTGGAGACGGTAGGAAGAGGGTGGAAGGTGTGCATAAAAGAAACCAGGAAACGTGTTAAGCAAGATAGAAATGCAGTTTTGAAACAGATCAACTTTTAGCCCTGGTCACTGCCTCTGCAGCACCCAGGCTGGCTTGATTCATCACCAGTTTTGGCAGATAACAGACACAGCAGGTTATGGTTGGTAGAGGAGCTTTCTACAACTGAAAATCAAGGCTTGGTAATTTATAGTTCACCAGGTGGCTTAAAAAACAGCAGCTCAAGAATAATGGATTTATGAATTTGTTTTGGCTGGCTAAACTCAGAGATTCATAGAGATAGAGATAAAACACCCTAAAGGGAGGTGATATAGGCAGAAGCATTCTTGTTTGGCAAATAAGCATACATGGAAAAATGGTCACCAGAGTAACCCTTTGCTGTATGCAGGCAGAGCATGTCGACACACATAGTGATGGAGAAGAAAACCAACAGTAGATAACTAAAAAGAACCCAAAGAAATGGTCTAGGCTTCAGCCAAAAAGATCAATAAAACTGCCTGGCAGAAGATAAACTCTCTTTGATATTGTCTTACAATATTATACTTTGGTGGAGTTGTAAACGTTTCCATTAAACATATTTTAACTCCCAGTTGTTATTTTAAAAGCCAGGCAAGATGGAAGATAAAAATGCAGGAAAATGTGTAACTGATTTTTCACCTACCCCAAATCTAAGTTTATTCCGTATCCTGTACATACTAATTTTAGATATGTATGTGCATAAGATATATATGCCCAAAGTGCTCAAAGCAATGCCATACCATCACAGTGCAGCACTTCAAACAAGCATATCACCATTTCTTTATCCTTATATCAATTAAGACTGGTTGAATGGTGAGAATATATATTTTTTCCTCCATACCAGGACCACTCTTCTCTTCCCCATTCTGAGTATATATCACAAAATGCACACATGCACATACAAATAACATTATACATAATAACGAGCTGCTATTTTCCCACTCCACTCTCTTCATTTACCTCATACAGAGCTGAGCAGTGGCACTTTGTGGTAATGAGAGAGCGCTATAGAGTTTACAACATTAACAGCGTGTAGCTGCCTTCATCTCCAGGAAAAACTTTCACAGGATTAGTTGGTTTTCGTGCATTCCTACCTCAGAACTGTAGCTACCTACTGCACATTTTAACGCTCTCCTCTTCCCAGAATGTCTTAATGCTACCAGTAATATTTGCATGCATAGCTCTAGGTTTTCTGATGAGCTGAAAATGCTTTACAAAAGCAGTGTATGTATTAGCCCCATTTGATAGATGGGGGCAACTGAGGCACAGAGAAGTTAAGTGACTTGCCCAAGCTTCCAGCAAGTCAAAGACAGAACCAAGGTTCCTTATTTCCTGTTCCCCAGCCCTATTTCTGAACCAGGGATTTCCATCCAGTCTGCAGTCCACTAGTGGAAACCTAAAATAGCTCCTTTTGGCTTCTATATAGAGGTTGGAGGAGAAAATTGAAACTGGAATCAAAATGAGAAAATGTGATTTTTTTCCCCCTTCTGCCCATCTTCACCTTCATGGAAAGGCCATGTTTACTACAGCTGAAGAGAATCCAGAAGTGCCATCCCAATGGTACCTCTGATATCAACTGCTTTATTATTCCAATAACATTAGGGGACTGTGGAAGGGAGCAGAAGAGAGACTTGTGCTCGTGGCTCAGAAGGAACTTACTCCATAAGGTAAGGCCAAATTTCATCTGAAAAGCTATGCAGGGCTGTTTTTTCTAACTAGCAAGAACAGCCTGATCATGCTGGTCCTGTATCAGTAGAAGTCAAATTTTGTCAGCCGTGCTCATTTTTAAAAGGGTTCACAGCCAGATACAAAACTATACTCTAACAATATTCGCTAAATATGCATTTTCTAAATCAATCCACTGTGCAGTATACTCAAAACCACACACTAGAGGAATTACTCCACTGCATTACAAAGTTTCTTTCCTCATCCTCAGGAAAGACATGGTGAAAATGCATAGTGGGACAGGAAGAATGGGTAAGGAGAGCACTGAACTTTAAATGCAGTTGAGCAGAGGTGAGGGTTTTCAGTCTAAACAAAAAGAAGTGTCCAACTTCAGAGCAGCATAGGATATAGTGGGTCTATGGTTTTTGTTTTGTAAAATGCAGGCTGTTTTCCTGGTGAGCTAGATTATAGCGGCAAAGAACTAGATATGCATTTAGCAATTTTTTAAACGTTCATCCTGCTTTCCTTTGCCAAACACCTGTAGGCTCTGTCAGGGGTACGAGCACTTAGGGACATCCTGCTGATGCAATAGGCTCATGGCTTTAAAACAGAGGTCCATCTGTTCTAGAAAATGGACTGATTGCGGACAGTGGCTGTCAACAGTGACAGCCCCTTTGTCAGAAGGATTTTAACTGCCAGTATTGATGGGACAAACCTGTAGGATGTTACTGTGGATATCAGAGTGCCTATATAGTTGAGTGTGGTAGCTCTCTTACTTTCTGTAACGGTATTTCAAAGTTCTGTCCCATCAACATCAGCATTTAAATTATCTTTAGCATTCACTGAGGTCAGTATTTAGTGACCACTCCCTCTCCTAGTGTCAGCTGAGGGTCATTTCCTTAATGTAAACAGACCCTTGGAGGGGGGATGTTTACAGTACCTTCTGGCTTCACTTTTTCACTTTTTTTCCAAAGTCCATTCAGGACACAGCCCCAGGAAACTTTAGAGTTAAGCCTCAACTGAAAGAAAAGAAAAGAAACCCCAAAGCAACCCCGCCAATTTCTAAGAATTTTAAAAATGTATATAAGCAGAAGTTCTCTCTCCTTCATTGCCCTCTCAAATCAAACATTTGCAGAAAAATAACATATATATATATGTGTGTGTGTGTATCTATATCTATACAGACATAGATATAAATAAGATACCCAGAGGTGCTGGTTTGCATTAGGGCCTAATTTCCAGCTAAATTAAAAATCAAACCCAGACATTTTGAATGCCTAAGGGGCACAAAAGCAGCACCCAAAATCATTAACTTTTGCACCTTTTATAATATATCTCAAACCAGTCAGATTTGTTTTCTAAAATTTTGTAGTAAAATAAAAGCGCTCTTTGAGGAAAATCTATGCAATTAAACAGCAGATTCTTAACCCCTGAAAAATAGAGGCTTATAAGACACGTGCTGATAGGCCCTTAACCGTAGCATCATTAGCAGCAGGTGCTGCTAGAGTTTTAAGTTTTCCAAATAGTTTTAACGTAAACAGTATTCTTAAGCTCTATGTGTAGCATAATGGTTGGGATTCGCTCTTTAATTCTTTTTACTAGAAAGATACAGCTCATTTAAAATAGCTGGTAGATACAGAAAGCATAAATATACAGTAAGTTTAGACACTGATTGTACTAAATGCAACAATACAAAGAAGCAAACAGGAACACAAATGGTAACACAATAAAACTGTATTACATTTGTGCTTCAAATATTACAATACATTATATACAGTAGTCCAAAATAAACATCTCATGCCAAATGACACAAAAAGAAACAAAAAACAAACAAACCAAAAACCCCAATAGCAAGCAAAAAGAATCCAGCTGTATGTACAGTACCTTTTTAATTAACATTCAACTCTGAACTGGAGCAATTTTCACTACATACAGATGCAGTCCGCCTTTTATTTCACGCAACCATCCTGTCTCCCTATATCTACGCTATTCAGTAGGTTCCTGTGTCATTTCTTATATACATGTTGAGCAAAAAAGATAAAAGAACATAGTGCTTTGTATTCTTAATGATGTGGCATCAGATCAGCGAACCTGGGGTGCATAACCTTCTTTCATTAAACCCTCCTCATAGTCTGTCTGGCACAGAATCATGTTGTTCTTCAGGAAAAATTTGTCTCCAACGCAAAATCTGAAATTACAATAATAAGGCAAAAAAAGTTTCAGAAAGAAATATGTGATATGATCTTACGTTTAAGAATTGCAGCACAAGTGCTCACAGTTTTGTTGTAGCTGCTGCACAGCTCACACCTTTGCTGTCTGTTGCAGCACACACACACACATGTATATGAAAATCCAGCAGAGGAGCTGCTCTGGTATCAGAATTAATTCCATGCTTTCAGTGAAATCGGGCGCATGGAACTGCTTTTGCTTTCCTAGCCCAAGATTTCATTCCAAGCCCACCAATGACTGTGAGAGTCTTGGATCAGGTCAGTAACACATAGATGAAACAGAATAAATATCCAAGGCTACTGAGTTGAACGAAAAGTAAATTTAGTGCTTTCACACCAATCAGAAGGAAAACAAGGTGATCATATGCAGTAGAATGCTCATTAGAGATACACTGTATTATGTTGTGCAGACACATTTATATATGAATAGAAGAACATCATGGTATGTTCCAGCTGAATATTTTACTAGAATTGATTTAATCCAGTGGTTCTGAGAATCAAAATATTCTTATCGAGTATACACATAACTTTACGTAACCTGTAGTGCATATCTGGAGACAGGTAGGCAAGTATGCAGAGAGAACAGTTTTTTCTGTAGGAACCGGTTACAAATTCAGTTACGCAGCTAAATACTTTCTCTCTTGCGGTATCAGTATAGGTACCTTGTTATACTATTATGTACTTCAGAATGATCTGATTGCTGCAAACTGCTACTGAGTTATTTCTCCCGATTTTCTCTGGTGCATAGGAAAACCATCTGAAGTTTTCACTCCTGACTGTCTGGTTTCAAACGTAAGTAGTATTTCCCAGCTATGCAGTATGCATGAATATAAGCAAGCTCTTCACTGACACTCCCTCCTCTCAACCCTCTCTTCAGACAAATCCTTTTTTTTTTTTTTTTTAAGGTATTTAGGGAAAAAGTGAATAGCGCCCAAGGTATAGAAAAATAGTTTCCCTAGTGATTGCTTTGGCAGGGTTACATTCCTTTGTTTACAGTGGCCTCTCCAGCTATAAAATATATTGGGAGGCCCTGCTCACATTATTCCAATTAAAATGAAAGAAAGTAACCTAAATGAACCCCTTAACACTGATGTGAATAAATGAAACCAGTTTCTACCAGCTAATTATGGACCTCACTACATGAAGTATTGTTTAATGTGTAACGGATTATAATGTCCTTTTTTGTATAATTTCCAAGCGATGACATCTTGGACACAATTAGGGTCAGATATAAATGCTTGTGGTGTTTATGGTAGATTTAACAACGGAGTAGCTATGGGAATAGCTGTATATGTATTTAATTGTAACAACTTAACCTTCAAATCGCTGCCTCTGCTGTAGTTGACCCAGTAAAACTACGCAAATTACACAAGTTGACCCATGCAACCCTTGATAGTGGTCTCTCTTTATCAGACAGTCAATTTCTAGCGATGTTCAAGCAGAAATCTTGGCGAATTGTCACACATTAAATTGTGTATTGAAAGCAGTCCTTTAATGTTTTGTGAAGTTGGAGGTTTAAATGAGTAGCAGTTGGACTGATTTACATTTGTGAAGATTGGAATGCTAGACAAACAGCGAACCCATTTATTTTCCAACTGGGTAGCTTTGGAAATTTATCCTTATGCTAGCTAAATAGATAGAGGGAAAATAGTGTAATAAAAAAGTGGATTGAAAAGAATTAGCTTTGCTCTTAAAGGAAAATTGGTTTGTTTATTTGTGGACTTTTTTCTGTAGGATTAATGCCTGCTGCTGATGATGATTGAAAATAGAGATTATGGAATGATTCTGAAATCTTTAAGTTGTTTACGGTCAAGACTGTTCTATAGAATTTACAGGTTCCTTCTCTTCCTCCCACCCCAGAAATGTGTTGAAATGAGGAATTCTTGAAACAAACAAGTTCTTCAAGGGTTTCTCTAGTTTCTCTCTTTTGTATCTTTGTCCATCAACAGCAATACTGACTGAAATTGGTGTGTTTCTGCCAGATTAGGTACAAGAGTCTTAATTAGTGCTAGTACATAAAAGTGTTTTTTCCCAAAGAAGTCACATTAAAATAAAAATTAAAAAAAAAATCCTTCTTAGTTTCTATTAAATGAATACACTGATTGATATGGACTACAGCAAGAGAAATTAGGCATTGTCACAAATCAGTGACTCCATTACAGTTAGCTCAACAGTTACCAATGGGGGATTGGACCTGCGACGTCTGGCCAATAGTGCCTACCACTTAAGAAGGTCACTACACAGAGAGCCGGCTGTCCCCGCGGTTGGGCACCAGTGGGAGACCTGACCACATCTGCTCGCCCAGCAAAAAGCGCTAACTCAGAATTGTGAATGCTGTTTGGCTACATGTTCCTTTGTGATCCAATGTAATATAGAACTTGGCATAATAATTTGGTTAACATAGTAAATGAGAAATATATTGCTAAAGTGCAATTCACTTGCAGAGCAATGCTTTCACATATAGATTCCTACAGCATTACTTGTATCAAAATCCTGGCTGAAGGATTTTGTTCTTCAGCCCTCAGAAAAGCCTTTCCCAATAGAAAGCGTCAATGTGTTTTGCTTTTGCTATGTTAATGCGTTGAGCCAGAAATGCTCTACTTAGGTCTACATGGTGTTTGACAGCTCTACGCACGAGTGGCTGTAAACACACACAGTCCCACAAATCATTTACCTTCCTACCGTACAGCCGTCTTTTGGAGAGACTGCTGGTGGCCTGCCTAGACATGCTCGGCTGTGTGGTAACCTGTCGGGTGTCCATCTGTCCGCATGGCAAGACACCCTCTGCGCTCATCTGGGGCTACGTCTGTGTGCTGGAGGGTGATCATCGGTGTCTTGGGGGGAACCTTTTACTTGTGTGATACCTATGGTCCAAATTCTGTCTGTTTTCATATTGTGCAAGTTCAGTGACTGAAACACATAGGCAAAGATTGGCGGTGAGGCTTGCATGTGCCCCTGAGAATTAAATGTGTGAATTACGCATTCATTAGGTGACAAAGAGGTAAGCACCAGGTGGAAAAAGAATTTAAACACAGCATACTAGCCCCCAAGTACGAGAGAAGGCGGCTAGATGGGTGAGATGCGACAAATTCTGTCCATCCAGTGCCACACTTTTGCCCTTATCTGACTCTCAAAAGCAGACTTAGTCTCTTCTAAAGTCAAAATGGCAAATTTTCCAACTTCTTCAGTTTGGTTTTGCACACTTAAGGATTGACTGGATCAGGTTTAAGACAGAAGGGGACATTCAAGACTACCCTTCCACCCCCTGCAAGAGTGTGTTTCAGTGGATTGACATAGGGTGTTAAATCAGGGCGCAACTGGGCACATATATCAAATGGAGTCAGGGAGTATACTGAGATGAATATTGATCTTTGGTGAGAAAGCAAAGTATTCTCATATTAAAATGGCAATTGGGTTAGGAGTATATAATGAGGCAAGACTGTTACTTTTCTAGCAGACAGATGGTAGTCTTCAGCCTTTTCTTTCCTAAAACCTTCTCTCGGTTTATTTAATAGGCATGCTAGATGAACAGGAAAAAATATACAATAGGCTGCATTAACATGCCAGATTGGACTTACCACCATAAATTGATAATACTACTTTTGACATGACTGTGACATTAGTAGAATGACCATTATAATTAACCTATATCCTAGAACTCCTGTCGTATTTTAAAATGGCAAAAGGAAGGCCATTTATATTACAAAATGACCTCTGTTATCATCTTGTTTGGAAGGGGAAGGTGTGCCTAGACTAATCACAAGCAGTATAAAACTTCCATTTTGAGAAATAGCTCTTTCTCTGTTCAGAGCAGAGATTTACAGAGATCTTTCTGCTGTCATCTTTTCTGACGTACAGGATGCATGTCAAAGTACTGAAGACTTCTTAAGAAAGTGAGAGAAATATTGCTGTGAACAAAGATAGCTGTGTGTGAAGTGCCTCCTTTGGTAATGTCGGAGCTTTGTTGTAGAAAGAAACAAACAAAATATGGATGCCTTTAATTAATTGATTTCCTCTAGTACAAAGAAAGCACAGACTTACTCCATCCCCACCCTTCCACTCTGTTTTTTGCACTCAGTGATGTAACTTGTGCCTTTCATTTTCAGCTGAGTTTCCAGTATAACTCAAATTAATGCTAATCTACATGCATTACCAAGAGAACAAAGCCACTCTTTTACATCACAGTTCACACCTATGTTTACTAATTTTAGGGTTCTGTCAAAAGGTCCAGTTATTATCAAAGGCCAGAAAGTCTCAGCTGTGACTAGGTTTGTACATTTTCATCAGTAAGATGAACTAAATGCACAGAATCCTAGGTAAATGGTAAGCCAGTTCAACTTAAGATGAAAAATCGCAACTTGGTGTGTTTTTCAGTTATTATTTTTATAAAAGCTGGTATCGAAAATGTATTTTTTTTTCTAAATTTAGAGATGTTCAATGAAAATGAAGGTCTCCAAAATTTATAAAAGGAACATACACACAAAAATCTAATATTAGTGTTTGAAATAAGTATGTCCGTAACATTACATTCCACAAAATCCCCTGCTTGATAGCGAACAAAGCCAGCATTGTGTGGGCGCTCAGCAGTTTATACAAAATATGTGTTTACAGCTACATCAGGACAGTGATTTGAATGCCCATGTAACCATTCTCAGTCTAGTGCCCAGTAAAATAAAGGCTGTTTCCAAGACAGAAATGGAAAGATAGAAGAATTGATGTAAACATCCCTCAGTGACAGCAGATGGGGGTTTTTAAACCACACCCCAAGCTAACTTCAAAACGTAGACAGAAAGTATCGCAGAAGCATGGAACAAGCTTCTAAAATAGCTGAGAGAGAGTGAAAGAAAGGACACAGAAATTCAGAAAAGTGGGAAAGCCGAAGGCAGACAGAGATCATCACTACAGTCAAAAGTGTCAAGCAAAGACACAGCTGAGCCCACATGCAAGATTTTCCACTCCATTTTGCTAGTCACACACATGCAACCTGACAAAGTGTGAAAGGCAGTGTCTGTTTACAAGTGTGTTTTTCCAGTGGTTTCCCCTTTTCCTTTGAATTTTCTACAGAAATCAGCCTACATTGAGGGTACTGCCAAAGTGAGGTGAAGTGCTTCCAAGAAGTTTAATAAAGAGAGGAGAGGGGAGAGTTCAGACCATTAAGATGACTGTCACTGAGCTCTGTGGGTATTCAGGAGATGGGAAAACTCTTCATATTAAAAGGAAGCTGTACAGAGACATGAAAGATAAAGGGAAGCTAAAACCTTTAGACTAGGAGTAGAGCTTAACATTCACAAAACCCCTACAGTTTTACCACACCAGCAGCAAGAACAAAAGTATATGGCAAAAAGTGGCTGGATGGAGCAATTAGATTCTAGAGCTGAATAGCTTTATGAAAGGGAAAATACGACACAGTGCTTATTTGATACCAGGGGACTAGACTCAGCAGCTCAAGAGATCCCTTCCAGTCCTAGGTTTCTAGCATGCATTATGAGAGACATATGAGACAAGCAGGTTTTCTTCTAACTCTGAAAATCTAGCCTTCTGGAGGCCAATAAAAAGGGACAGATGCATTAAATGTTAGTTCAGGGAGAGAGTTTAATGCCTGAACAAAAAAGTCCCCTGAAACCAAGCTGCTCTAACTACCATCCACACTGAGTCTTGATCCGGATGTTGAGTAGCACATACTCAAGGATAATAAAGCAAACTGTGAAGCTGTACATAAAAGCAGGAAAAAAAAATCATTGAATTTTTCATGAAAACCACTGGCAATGGGCAGGTCTCTCTCTTGCTAGCCCAGGATCAACTGTTTAAAGGGCAAAAATATGAGGGTCATATGATAGTAAGCATAAAGAGCTGGCTGCCCCAAGGATCAGTGTGATGTGAGTTAATATAATTATTAGCAAGCTTGGAAGGCAGAAGGCATCAGAAGGAATTCCAAACAACCAGGCAGAGAATGTCAGAAGAAATTCACTGTTGGCCAACACCAAGTAATGCAAACTGAAGAAACAATTTAGTCTACTCAAGAACGTTGCATATCTTCTGTTAGGAAAAAATCTAAATGGTAGCCAGTAACTACTGCATGCTTTACAGTATTACCCCAGACATGTTGAACTTGTCTCAGTGGAATTTAAAATTTAATTGGGGAAGAGATGGTGAAGGTGGGGAAGAGAGTCAAATATACAGGTCCTGCATTAGCTGCTGAGTTCTGCTAGCTCTGTTGGTGATTTGTGGATATTGCTGATGTGTTTATAAATAAAAATATTTATCTTTAAATATACCACATTAGGGATAGTGACTGGAGTGAAAGTGAAGAGCAGACTTAAGTCAGCTCAAGAACATCATTTTGCATACAAGGGGAAGCATGGAATAAAGAAACAAAATTAAACTATTATCTTATAAACTCATCCTCACCTGGAATCTGCTGTTTGGTTTTGATACCCTATCTCAAGGAGAGAAAGAACAGAGGATCCTGCCACAGCCAATAAAAATTATTAATGGTATGGTGACAGAAAAAAGAGATTTCATAGCAGAAATATAAAAAATAATCAGTACCATGGGTCAGCTGTCCAGTATTTCTATTTTTTGTTATTATATAAGTAATGAAAAACAAAAGATTTAAAGCCATTTATTAATGAGAGAATGGACAGTCAGTGGAATGCTTTGCCATAGGAACCACAGAAGAACTAAGCTGGAGCATCCATGAAATAGGATTTATTATAAAAAACAACAAAGCTGATTCTTCAGAGTGCTACTAGCCCCAAATTATGAGGAAGAAATGTACCCTACAAGCAGCCTGTTTTATTAGGCTCCTTGAGAGCTATTGCAATATAACCAGGACTAGAGCCACTTTTGACAATTCTTCCATTTCTTTGAAACTTCTGGTACTACTCAGTGTTCTGACTAGATGAATAAATCGTATTTCAGGTACATTTAATTCCTGTGTTCCCAATCTCAGACTCTCATAAGACTATCTCAGCAACCATTTGTCCAAACTATATGAAAGGTAAAGATCAAGTAAGAGCCTAGATTGAAGGCTAAGGAATGAGAAGGCTAAGAATTATTAAATAGCCCTGGAATGCTCCACTTCAGAAGCACCTAACAGCACTTTTCTGGTGGGAATCAGTGGCTCTGGGGTAAAATATGACGTATATTAGCTGCAAATTGAAATCGTATGTTAGTTCACACTTGTTATGGCAAAAGAGGAATATTAAAAATGATCACAACAGCTTAGTTTTTGGGGGGAGAGAAAAAAAGCTAATTTCCTCACATCCAAGAGTACTAACTATGATGAAAATCTTTTGTACTCAGGGTAACAAACATTGTCTGCTTTGCTTGACTGATGAAGATTAGCTGACTTCTTACATTAAAGAAGTTTGTCTTGTATGGGCTGAAGTGACAAGACAATAACTAAGTGCTAATTGTGCATAACCAACACTAAAGATATGCAGCCCCATTATGGCATGTAATAAATGAAGCGAACAACAGAAATATATTAGGCATTTTAATAATGATACTAGAAGAGTGGTTTGCAGAAACAGGGATGTGAAGGGTTTAAGAAACGAAATCTTGGAGTGTGCATGTGTCTTACTTGAATGGGCTCTACTGGGAGGCTCTGCCTGCCTCACTCGGAGTACGGCTTTTTAGTTCTGTGGCAAGACAAAATTGATATAGGACTTTAAACAGCATTAGAACCCGTAATTACTTTGCATTATTATATACTTTAAGCAGTGCTTATTACTTGCCTGGTATCTTAATTTCCCATGCAACATAATGAAAAAGGTCAATTTGGCTTTTTTTAAGAGTGTAATTGTAGTGTGCTATACTTATTAGCAGCTGTACATTTTATGGTTCTTTAGGGATGTTTGATTTTTAAATGACTACAGTGTTACAAAATAATACACTGTAGGACAACGTGAGCTAGCAAAGCTTATTTAGAGCTCTATCTAACTTTGGTGTGTTGGACTATTATCTTACTAAGTTTTTGTTACTTCCCTAGAAAGGCACATCTCATGTGTTTCTTCCCACCTGAAAATGAAAAAAATGAACACTAAAAAGCCTAAATAGGATCATGTAATAACTGCAACAATGTAATAGGTACATTAAGGAGTGGAGATAATCGGTTCTTTCATTTCCTACCTCATAGAAGTCAATGCCAAAGCTGCCAGTGACTCTCACAGATTGTACTCTAAAAATGGAAATGGAGCTTTCAGTGAAAACTCTGCTAGGATTTGGCCATGCACTCTGAGTGTAGTTACTGCAGGTTTGGCTGTATCTGTCTCTGAAAAATTCCGTTTTTACAATTTTACGATTTTTGGTCTTCATTCTGCAGCTGTGCCGTATGGGTGACTCTTCAGACCAAAATGTCAGGTTTGGACCCTTGGGAAGTTTATAACCTCCAGTTAGAAGGTGGAAGTCAAAACAGGGCACAAGAAGTCCAGTGCTGCTACAGAGAACACGGTGGGAAGCAACATCTTTTAAATTTAAGTGATTACAGCTCTGTCAACAGCAAGAAACATGTATTTTAGAAGAAATTTATGGACAAAACTGAAGAATTTAAATAAAATTAATGTAACAAAGGTGACAAAAGGTATGTACTGCTGTGTTCCTCTACAGCAAAGGATCTCAGAGTTCTTTATAAATATTAATTAATTAAACCTGACAGACAGCCTTGTGAAGGACAGGAAGTAACATTATTCTTTTTTATTGATGAGGGATTTGAGGCACAAAAGTTTTAAGTGTTTTGGCCAAGGTCATAAAGGATGTTCTGCATCGGTCCCAGGAAAAGAATCCAGGTCTCAATCTTGGGCTTCCTCTGCCAGGTAAATGTTTCCTCTTTGCTTAAATGTATGCACACGCCAGTGCCGAATGAGCGCTTAGCTTACGGAACAAACCCAAGAATATTCTCTTACCTCTGATTACAAAGTTGACAGGCAAAACAGTCCAGGTGGTAAACGTTGTCCTTGGCTCTCATCACCATCTCAAAAGCAGGTATGAGCTTACTGCAGGCAGCACAGTTTCCTGTAACTCCAAATAACCTGAAGACACATAAAGAAAAATATTCCTGAAGATGCTTAACTGAAAAGAAAATCACACTTTCATTTTTTATCTGGGATTTTTCAACAGTTGTCTGTTTTTTGGATTGACGTCCCTTTGAAAGGCTGTTTTTTTTTTCGGTGGTACAAGTCTGTCCAATTTACAATATAAAGGTGTCATACTTTTTGCCAGGGAGAGCTTTATAAAACAGTGATGGCCTAATATTGCGCCTATTGTGATGTTGGTTTTTATGCAGGTTATACTGACCTTTCTTGATAAAAGAAACATCTTGTTAAACAAAACAAAGAAATAGTAAACACATCAGGAATGTTACATAACTGTGCAGACAGAGGTCAAGCTGTTCGAATACGCAGCGAGAATCTTCTACTTGTATCATGCTGTAAATACGAGAACCACATAACCTTGGCTTTTGGTGCTATTTATTATTAAAACATACTTTAGCTAGAAAAGAAATAACACTTGAAAAAGCCAATATTCTTCGCATTTTTGACATCTAGTGCTAAAAGCTTTACCACTATTATTAAAAGAACATTTTATGAACAAATCATTTAAATCGTCAGAAAGCATTAGTGGTTCATGCACCTTACAACCCTATACCATAGTTATTGCTATGATTATGTTATTCAGGTAGCACATTAAAGTAAATGAGGCTGTAAACTATATATAGTCACATCAGGAGTAGAAGTATAAAATACTGTAAGAACAATATGAAATGCTGGTTTTGCCAGACATCTATATAAATTTTTTTAAATTCTCTTTGTTAAAAGATTTTTCAGTACTTTTCAAGTGGGTGTATTACAAAAAAAATCACACACATGCGTCCTTTTGTAACAGAGAAGGATTATAATGAACAAGAAAAAATATGTTAGCTCTACATGGCAGCAATCTTTGAAACTAAGTTTGTTTAAACTACTTAATAGTTGTGATGGATTATTAAAAGTAACACTCTGCTTGTGCATAGCAGTTAATGCTGTTTTTAACTACGAAGCACACTAGATGAAAACGCCACATCTGCCAGTTTTCTTTTTTTCCTCAACATCAGGCTGACAGCAGAAAAATATAATGGCTCTCAAGGGAAACACCAAATTAAAAGCAGTTCTAAACTAATGAATTCAAAGGTGCTCTGTAGAAAATTCAGTTTGGTAACATAAAAATGAACGCAGCTTTTTAATCACATCCCTCCATTTTACTGAACTTCAGGAGTTACCAACAAGCCTACTTAATTCCAAGTCCTTTTACCTTCTGCTGCTACTTAAGATGCACTTCCTGCATAATACGTGCCTGTTTGTTTTTAAAGTTGCAAACCGTTTTCTGCATGACTGTCTGGCATGCCGGTAACCACGATCACTGGGAGAAGTTCTGGGACAAGGCCAGAACCATCAGCTCCTGCTAGGATTACTCAAGTCAACTTCTCTTTCGGTGCAGTCTCATTACTAAAATTATAGATTATATACAGAATACATGTATTCGCTTTGCAAAACATTCTGTTTCTGCCGTCTCCACCACAGCCTTCCTGCGTGGGTTTCGGCAAGGTTATCCTAGGTCCACTCAGACTCTCATTCCTCTTCTGTGAAAAGGACACAAAACTTAGTTGCCTTTCGTAGTGGTTGACTAGTTTCACGCTGAAAAAGACTAACCTCACTGACCAAAGGCCCAGGTATTTTTTCCTTCATATCTGCATAGCAGATGATGGCAGTTTAGCTGGACAAGGAATGCAGTTCAGGCTGCAAAAGGTACCGAGTAAGGACTGTGGGTAAACGCTGCTGTTACACCGTATGGTTATACCAACGGGAACGAGGCCTGCCACAGCACCGTTTGAGCACAAACATGAAAACCGCCCCGCCGACTTCAAGCCTGGAGGGGGATGAGACAGCAGCTCAATGGTTGGACGGTTTGGGCGCAGCAACTTCATCCTTGAGACTGAGCTCAAGCCCTTGCTGGGGAGGGTGCTGGGTGCAGGTGGTGCCACCTTTCCCAGCCACGTCCCCTCTGCAGGGGGTGGTGTGGGTGGGTGGTGTGGGTGTGAAAGTGGGAGTCCATTACACTTACAATTGCGATTTACATGTTGCAGAGCAGTGAAACAACTTGGGATTGTCACGCAGCCTCGCAAAGGGTGGAGAGATTCACTGCGCCGGCGTCCACTCTGTGTGGGTTTCCACACTGTTCTCAAGTAAGAGACCCCCCCTCCCACAGAAACTGCTTCAGGTAAGCACCGGATATATACAATTTTTTCAATTATGTAAAAGAAAGGAGGCCTTCCTTGCCGTTAGTTCTTCCCCACCACATACAAAACAAACATGTGAGATTTATATTAGCTATTGTTAATTTTGGATAAAGCTGTTTCTATGAAGAACATAGTTTTCTCCCATTAATAATAATAATAAAAAACCCAAAATGCCATTTTGAAATTCTGGACATAGTTTCCCCCAATTTCAATTGCTCTCGCTCCCTGAGCATTTATCAGCTACCTGATTAGAATTTGTTTCCACACAAACCATTGATCATCAGCCTATTACTAGGCAAATGACAGTTAATTACCCACTACATTAACCACTGGGACCTGAGACCTGCTTCTGCTGCCATCAGTCAACATGATAAATGTGGCAAGTTCAGTAATGCATGGCCAGCCCTGAGCTGCCTGCTATAGTGTGAACAACCCTCAATCTCACTTCCAGGCCCAGGAAAATCTATGGCAATCTGCATAATTACAAGCTCTGGGTTAATAACAGACAAATGATTTGTTGCATCTAAACAAAGTCCTTGGAATGGGCCTGGTCTCCTGTGGCTGCCGGGGCTGCTGTTTTGCCACTGGTGCGCTTCCCCATACAACGCGTGCGAAACACATCCCCGACGCTGCATCCTTCCAATTTGTTGCCCTCCAATTTATGGATTCTGCATATGTGATTTTTAATCATTAAAGAACTCTTGAAGCAATATTATCTTAATTATTCTCTGCTGCAACCAGGGAATTAGGCTTCAGATAAAATTTTCTTCTTCTGTGCACTTTCCCTGCCTCGCTGGAGGCTCCATCAGTTTTCATCTACACCTGGACTCTGAAATTCTAATGATGAATTATTGCCCCTTTTCCTAAGAGGGCGAACCTTACAAGGGAACATTTTACTGAACTGTCAGCTCACAGACTGAGTGCGGAGATGCGGAAATCTGATCTAATTTACTGCAAAACGATGCATTTGTTAGACTTTCTCCTCAGTTTTGTCCAAGGATCAAGAGATCAGTCAAGAGCCACCCTTCATGTACTCCTTTACACAAGAGTATGTGCTCTAGACTCTCCATCTACTGTTTTGTTTTCCTCTCCTCTTGAAACTTGTGAGGGAAACAAACTCATAAACATACAAATTTTACTACTGGAGAGAACAAACAGTTTCACAACAGCATCTTTGCTGCAGCTGAGGCACTGAGCTACGGTCTCTTGCTCGGTCTGGTTTCCCCAAAAGGTGTCAAGCATTTCGTTTCTGCATAACACTCACAGTTGCCTGGTATCTTTCTGTATTTTATTTACCATTTTCTCTGTAGTGGGAGAATGCTTAAACTCACTCCTTTCTCATCTGCTTACACATAGACCAGTAGACTGTGACCTAGTTACCTTAGCGGATTAGAAAACTGCTCCTTACTCATTTCACCTAGGAGAAAGGGACTACAAAATTTAAAAGGACACAGGTGAAACTTTTATCTTGATATTCTGCACCAATCTCTGAAATTTTATATTTATACCATATATACAGAAACAGAGATTAGAACAATCAGCAGCAGCAAGTGTATTCGCTCTTAATGTATTTGACTCGTACAGAACATCCTGAACAGGGCTAAAAAATGAAAGATATGCAAAAAAACTTCTGCAAGCAAACCCAAACCTGACATTTTGAACAGCAGAAAATGGGCTTATGCACCACACTATTGATTCTAATTTCCTAAGTTTACTAAATTAAAAACCTGAAGGTCAAGTACTGATAGATGAGAGGAAGGAAAAAGGCAGAAGAGGAAAGAACAGAAAAAGGGAGTAAATAAAAAGTAAATATGCAAAAGCGCAGAGAACTTGACAAAATGGCATTATACTTATGATCCATGTGCTTTTTAGAGGGACCTAGTCTAATCACTTGAAATCAATTTTCATTCACTTCTAGAGATTTTGGATGAGGCCCCAAGTAAGGAGGGGAGACCCGGTTCTCATTATTAGCTTAGAAATGCCGTATTACAGAACTGTCCAGTTAGCCAGAACTGCACATGCACTAAGATGAAGCTGACTTGGACCATAATTCTTTACCAAACTACCTGGGACTTTTAGCAAGATTTTGCATCTCGTGTCATTTGTTACTGCGGCTTCCAAAGGTTTCTTCCTTTTTGCTGCTCTTGTTTGAGAACTTCCTCTGTTTTGTTCTGCTACTAGCCATTGTTTTGCTACCAAAAGCACTTTTTTGGCCTACTTTTTTGTATTAAAATGTAGCATGATTTGGGTAAGATTTCTGGATTTTCAGTTTGCACTAAGTGTACAAACTCTCTGTTTGCACAGATGTTGCAAAATGAAGGAGAAAAAAACACCTTGAGATTTAGGAATGACAAAGAAGACATTAAATGGCATTTCTCCTGCGGCACAATAATTATGTATAATATCACATGGTTTCAAATTACTTTTCTCCTCATTCTCAATACTGGGTTAACTAGGTTCATTAGGGAAAAATATATATGGCGTCTGAGTTCTAAACTTGCCTTTGCCACTAACTGATTGGGCGACCTTGGCAACTCACTTAATTTTGGTCTCAATTTACTCATAACAAGGAGGTGAGACCTAATTTTCACATGGTGATATCCCTGCTAGATAGTTGTTGTTTCTATAAAAAATTTAAATGATACTTTCAAACCACTGTTCTCTACAATGCATAAGGGATAAAAAATAAAACATACTCTCTTTTAAATGTAATCAGACATTTACCGAAATAGACAATCAACTTTTTTTCCTAGTAGGCATGTGTATTATTCAGGATTTCAATTCAAACGCTATGTACTGAAGGTAGAATTTGGCCCTGAGCAGGTATTTCAGTCAGCTTAACATGCTATTTGCAGAACCATAAAACCACATAAAAGAATCTAAAAGTTAATGAGAGAGAGAAAATTTATCTAGGGATCTAGATTAAAAAGCGCCCTGAAAAGCATAGTTTTAGAGAACATGTAATCTTTACATGCTGAATGTTATTTAGAATATTAGGTGGAGATTTAAAAAAGTTTCTAAGTGACTCAAGTCACAAGTACTGCTGGCTTTAAATGGTCTTTATTCTTTTATTTCCCACAAGATATTTCTGAAAAACTTCCCTCTCAAATTGCACAGAAGAGGAAGCAGGTAAATTTGTCCCACTTGCATTTTTATGAACGCCCGGAAAACTTATTTCACTCCCACCCATCCTCAGTTCCCTGGAACAGCTTTCTAAATGCCCAGTGAAAATGAAACATGCTTCTAGCCAAGAGGAGAAGAGAAACTGCCCCACTTTTCCTACTGACATTAAAACATGCAAAACCAGTAGAAGCGAGAGAACAGAGTTCCTATTCAACCTCTTCATTTGTAGACCTCTAGACTCTGCACTCACTAATACCCAGTAAAAGATTTCTGGCGACTTTGCTTGAATTAACTCTAGTCTAGTAATCAACAACGGCTGGCAAAACGGAGACTCTATACAAAGAAAGGAAAAAGGTGGGAACCTACCGAAACCCAGGAGAAAACGGCCACTTCTGAAACTCTTCTGGATTCCCTTCTGTATACTCATTACTGCTTATACATCCTTCTCTAACTCCCTGTATTTTCAAGCCTTTCATTGACAAAATTGGGGTGTCAGAAAAGGAGACTGCTATGAAGTTGCAAGCAAGGGTGCTCAACACACTTAAGCACTCAGCCTTCAGGCTAGATAATTCGGTGCTCCTCAGCTGCAGGCGAGGCAGCCAGATTTTCGTAAGAGCCAGCATTCTGGGTGCTGAATTATTTTAGAAAATATAAAATCACAGTGTCATAATATGGGAGCATTTAGACATATTTGATAGCCTGATCCTTATTTAGATGCCTATTCAAATTAGCTTAAAAACCTGCCCTCAATTTCAGATACTGAAAAAAAGATGGAAAAAAAAAAAAAAGAGATGAACAAAACAGAGCTTCTAGCTTAAGTGGGTTAAGGAAGCCATTTAAGCACAGTTGTTGAAGTGTGTGTTTTAAACCCCTACTAAAATCAAAGGCTGATTCACTGTTTGCCTTCTTTGGTAATGCTGCGAAAGGAAGGTTACTTTTGCCAAACTAGAGCAGAGAAGCCTTTTCACCTCCACACCCTTTGTTTTATTTTAAAAGCCAACTCAGACACAGCAGAATTAACTTGACATTGGAGGTATGCTGATATTCATAACACTGCCCGTTTGCAAGGATACCCTGACTGTTACACCTGAAAACACAGCTCCAGTTCATGGAGGGCAAGCTGCAGTACATCTCCAAAGCCTAAGCTACTAAGAATTTAAGTTGGTTGATAGCTGGATCGCGGACAAATGGAAATGTGATGGTAAGGCATGGTTGTAGCCTTGCAGCACATTGACACTCTACTTCTGAGAGTGTAGCTTTTGTGTTTAGCTAAGCCGCGTGTGTGAGTAATCCCACCTGGCTTCAGCTGGACTGCGTGTTAGGTTTAGCACTTGTGTAAGTATCTGCAGCATGATATATGCACTGAAACTGGAGGTGCAAACCTTTCTCAGATGAAGCTACTGTTTTTTGTGCTGTTCTACTGCACACACCTATTACAGAATAAAATAATTTTATGTAGTACAAAGTCCAATAGTTAATACAGCTTTTTTGTCTTTCTTGCTCCTCAAGTTTTATGTATTGCTCTCATCATTGTGGATCTTAATTAAATGTAACAAGAGCCATTCCCATCCGTGCGGATTTCCAGTACGGTGCAGATCTGTGTAGAACACATTGTCAAACTCTGTCTTGTGCCTGTGGAAGTTCATGAAACTGAGCCTTTTTTCCTATGCAGACTGCAAGAAAGAATTCTTTATGTAAAGTTAACATGGACAAATTCCGTCTTCAAACACCTCAACATCAGACATTCAAAACAAAATACAGATTTTCTTATATATCCTTCCCTAATTAGGTTATTTGTGTTCTGTGAAACTTGCCCTGCAGTCTAAGCTTTCATTTTGAGTAAGTATTACCAGCCTTAATTTTGGCTCCAAAAATTTGAAGCGTGACGAGGCATAACTGAGGTAACGCCACTTTTCTAAATCTGCAGTTTTAAAAAGCTTTGGGAGGTGGGAATTCTGTTGTTTGGACAATGCAGTGTTAACGCAGAAGCTTAAATCACACAACTTTTAAAAGCCCTTGTTCATCTTAGGAGCAAATATAGTTACATCGTTTATGTCACAGTCTGCTACCCTGTCCCTTCAGTCATGCAGCCAGATCATCAAACTTTCAGTTTAAAGCTAAAATGCAATTTTAAGAAGTATTCTGGCCTAATTTACGATCTTCTTTTAATCAAGTTACAGTTTTGTTTCATTTTAAATTTACTTTAACCGCTCTCGTTGACGCAGTTGAAAAGCAAGGATGATTGTGCACAGTGCGCAGTGATGTATGCCTGATATTGTGGAAATAAATTCAAGTTAAAAATGACCTCCCAATGCACTCAGGGCTCTGCTTTGCACCACCACTCATGCATCGTGACATCCTTAAACTTCTACCAGTAAAGTCAACATCAATATTACATCCATTTCTACAAAGCAACCATATAAACTTCATCTTTCTACACATGCTTTACTCTAAATCATGCATATAAATCCATCTACACGCACAGGCTGAATCTAAAAATTTGGAGATATTCAGCTGATGTGTTTTCGTTGTCAAACGAGAGCAACTTAAAACCAAATTTAATGCCCAAGTCCAACAGGAATAAGGAGCCCTGCAATATCCCAACCTCATTCCCAGTCTAGGAGTAGGTCTAACTGGCACAGCATAGTGGCATAGTTCAGGGCCTGCAAAGTGCTGTGACTGTGTCTGTGTGGCACTGCACCTGGGCTAATTAGGTTAATCTCCCAGCTCATTAGCCGCTTGCATTGCCACTTAGCTGTATCTACACTGTTTCCAGATCTGGAAGCTACTTTGTGTCGTACCGTATGGAGGTCCCTGAAGGCTGTGCCTGCAACTGTTCTGCCAAAGCATCGCTGAGCTTCGCCAGCCTCCTGCTCTCGCCGCTTCTTACCTGAAGGCTTGATCTCGACAAGACTCCCAGGGACAGGCTGGATGGCAGCAGGTCGGGGACCGCAGCTATAGTGGCCCCAGGAGTGTTGTGCGTACCTGCCGCATGGATACCATGCCATGCAACAGCCAGCTATCCTTGTGGTAATGCCATACAGCTGAAGTCAGCAGAGCAGATGACCTGCATCCCCTCCTAGAAGGGAACCAGAGCCACAAGCAATGTGGATGTGTGAAGCCTGTGACTTACCCTCAAACTGCATATAGCCCTATGTTGCTGCAGAAGAAGCGGCAACCCGAAAAAGAAGCTTATGATGTGCATTTCAGATTCATCCCTATCCCCATCCCACCTTCGTGCAAAGAGCTAAACAGAAAAAAAAAAAAAAGACACTTTTTAGAGCAAATGCAGAGGCATCTAAGAAGAAAAGGAACTGAATGAACAGAAAGCCCCCTGATGAGCAGTGGCCAAGCTCCTATCGTTTTCCAGCAATTCTATTATTTCCCCAATGACTAAGGAGAACAGGTCTAAATGGTGCATATGGAGTTTGCCCCTGGAGATGGGGGAAGGGAAGGAAATTAAGGTACAAATATATAATTAGCTGCCTAATGTGAGGGACATAAAACACAGACATTTTTCATTTTGCCCCAGAGGTGACTGAGAATGTAGAACCTCTGGGTAAGAAATCAATGCACAAACTGTCAGGTAAATACATACTGAAATAGAAGTGGGGGGTAAGTTAATAGTTCTATGAGGTCATATAATAAAGTCCATAGTTCTTTCATCAGTGCTGTGAACAATGCAGTTACTGTGTTTCTCCCCTGGTGTAACAGCAAAGACGGTTGCTAGACTCAGAAAATAAATTATGCCATGCTTTATTAAAAAGTAAACAGCTGTTCCAGCCACAATACAGCACATGCTAATTGAAGAATGCCTTAAGCAGTCCTATAATAAAAGGCTTTTAAGAGCTGGAGAGCAAAAAAAAAAAAAAAAAAATTCAGCATCATGACAGACTTACTATCACGGCTTCCCTTAGTTAAAATTCAACACATGGGTCATTCAAGGTGAGAAGTACATTCTGGGAGAAGATCTACAGTAATGAACATTTAAGAATCATTAGCAGGCTCTTTCATGCCATGATGCTGTAGGCAAAGACATGTTTAGGTAGGAAGTGCAGCCACAAGGTTCTCATCATATTTCCATGTCTTGTTTTGCTGGGAGATATGTATCGAGGAATACAAGAAATGTGCAGGAAGAATCGTTCTTTCTACGGTGATGATCCCCAGCCAGGAAACCTCACTGCTCATGGGAATCACCCTAGAAATCTTGGCAGAGAATGGCAGGTAGGCTGTAGGCCATAAGAGAGCATAAATATAACAGACAGAGGATGCTAAGGTGGCAATGAGAGCCCCACACTGGCCGTTGTCCCCAAGTAGATGTATCGCCGTACCTCCACACAGCCCCATCCTCTAATGCCGCGCGGGTCTGCCAAGCGGAAAAGGTGTGCCCAGCTTTTTGAAAGGGGTTGTGAGGAAGGCTGAGGTACAACCTTTCATTACCTTAAGAGGTTCACGATGAAACTGGGTAGGGAACATGAGCTAATGTTTCGAGCAGGGAAAAGTCTCCATTCCTAGTCACCTTGCTAAGTGGCATTGATTAAGTATCCCCTCTTTCCACCTCAATTTTCCTGTCTTTACTTTATATTAAAAGGACAACAGGAAGCTTGGTGAGCAAAAGTCCCTCAAGAGCCCTGACTGATAGCTACTATGAAAAATATAAATGTATTTAGAGCACCTACTCACTGCCATAGCATTTGCCCAAGAATGACATTCAGATTTATGGTATTCAGACTACCAGACACCTGCTTTCTGGAAAATTGCTTGCAGAGTTAAGCTAGATGTGTGTGCGTGTGCTTGTGTGTATGCATGTGTGTAAAATAAAAATAGCAACATAGTCCTACAGAGAGGATAAGAAAAAGAACAATTTTTTCCTTCTATACAATACAATAAATTCCTTCACAGTATTTAGAGTTTCTCCATTCCAAAAACCACTGTAAGATGAGTGCTGCGAGATGAGTAAGAAGAGATTTTTTATGTTTGCAATAAGAGAAGTGCTTAAAAATTAGGAAAAAGGATGTGCGTCAGTCCATTAGATGGCATGCAAATACTTCATTCTGTTCATATAAATCATATGACGTGTTTGCAAATTCATGCCACAAAGCAACGGCTTAATAGAACTGCTCTTCCTATAGAAATGGAAACAGGTTAAGTTTTCCTTCATTGGACTATGTGTGCGTTTTCTTTATAAATAAAAGCTGCAGTATCCAAGGTATTTCCTTTGTTGTGTCACCTTTAGGACTTACTATTTGAAGTATTCCATTGAAATGGCTATGCTCTGCACAGTGTTCAGAATTTTAAGTAAAACCTTAAACAGCTACAAATCAAAGCATCAAGGTACTTTGAAGAAGCATATACACTACATACATCATATGCTGCATGCATATGCATTGCTGATATCTATATCTCATCAACACGTTCACAAAAATATTACAGCTTTGGGAAAAATTATTTCAAATAAAATATAAACATTAAAATAATCTCAATTTCGAAACTCAGATTTCAGCATATTTAGGGTCGATTCTAGAAATACACTTTCAAAATATGTCGGATTCTGAGACATACCTGCATGACATTTTTCTGTATCATTTGTTTTGTTTTCGGTATCATTTGTTTTACAGTAAAACAGGAAGATATATTAATCTAAATAATTATAAATAATCAATTTTTGCTCTCATTTATTTAATAAAATGCTTAGGTTTTAAGGTGCTCATATTTTTACACCTGCATCTGGGCTTATAGTTTCCTCCTAACTCTGTATGATTTTTGTCCCTCTGCTAAAAAGAGTGCTTGAGAAAATTCTGTGCAAATGTCTCACTCAAATTTATAATTAATGTAGCAGAAAATTATATTACTAATTAAATAAAACTGAGCACAAATTGAGGCAAATGCTGGAAGCATTATAAACGGTATAAAGTTAGGAAGAGAACAAAATCGCAAACAATGAGTAGGTAATGTAACTGCATATATTAGAAACATCTCAATTATTACATCCACAAAGGCAGAACCTAAAAAGCAGCATTTCATAAGAAGGTGTCATGTTGACATATATTGCTCATTAAAAAAGGTGCCGTTTGTATATGGGTTACTGTTCTTCATATGCATGAATATTGGTAACACATTGTGGGAAAGGAAAGCCCTTGAGATTTTGTGTAGTTTGAATATTTAATGTAACAATAGTTTGCTCCCTAATAAAGAAAGGAAAGAAATTTGGGAGCCCAGGACATAAATCTGCCTATTTATTATTTTACACTGGCTACAGCTGTGGATCAGCATCCTCTGCATAACTCTCAAGATGTGCTGTTAAAATTACGGTGGCTGCGTGTAGTAGCTGCTGCTTAACCAAAGCCACAGAGACTACAAATGCAAAGCTCCCCCCGTCCCCCCTTTTAAGCAGAAAATACACAAGTAGTGTATATATAATATTTGTCTATAATATATATGTGTACTAACCTGCTAGTTATCTCTGCTTACACTCAGGCTGTCAGGAAACTGTCAGCTGTAAAGGCGATAAGGTGGGCAGTTTAAAGAAGATACTGAAGCCTTAAGCTTCTTAATGTGCCAAGAATCAATCCCATGAAAGCAAACAACTTGAAAAAGGGTTATATGTATTTAGGAAATCTCTTAGCTCCCCTTGCTTTTGCTGCAACTGGAGCTAGCGCTGGAGTTTTCTCACCCTAATGACCCCTGAAGCAGCCCGGAGGGATTGTGAAACAAGGCCGTTACACAAGGCAGCTTGCTAATTGAGAAGTTGATCGGGGGTAGAGGAATCCTGCTTTACCGCGTTAAGTGTCCAAATCAAGCATGACTAGATTGACGTCGCCAAATCGCTGTCTGGAGGCCACTCCAAGCCAGGAGCAGCAGGGCTTTTCACACCTGATAGGCCCTCACTCTATCTACATCAAGTCACATTAAGAAGGGAATGGATTACACAAGTGGAGCCCGTGCCCCTTCAGAGCGCCGCTCCCGCTGCCTAATTGCTGCTCCCTAGTCTCCGAAAAAGGAGCAAATACGCGTAGGTGTCAAAAGGAGGCAGTACCTGTTCCGGTGACAGAGCCCACCTTCCCCTCCCCTCCAAAAAAATAGGAGAGGCGCTCTGGCTTCAAGGCAAGCAAAGTAGAAGAATGAATGCGTCAGGCTGTACTGAACGTTTCTGCACAAAACTGCTCTGCAAAAGAGGGCGGTCAGGGGAATCATGCCATTGTTCAAAGTCGTCGTAACACGAAGGGCTTAAATGGTACTCTGGCCTTCAAATATTAACTCCCGGATCCCCTCAACCGTCTTGTAAGACGGGGAGGCGTGAGCATTCGCCGGAGAGTTAGAGAAACTGAGGCTGGGGGACTCTGAAGCACAAAGGACCATAAAATGCTGAACTCCTAGGCTTTTCAATCAGAGATGGATGTCTAACTGTCTTTTATACCTCTGAAAATCCCCCTCATCAGCAATTTGATCAAGGTGACTGAGAGCGTGTGGGATTTAATCCCATCTAGGATTAAAACTCAACAGTTCCTGCCCCACAGTCCTCAGCCTGCACCTGCTTTAAAAGAGGTCAGCTCTTATTTTTGTGTACCGTCAGGAAAGGCGGCCACAACGTGGTCAAGGTTGTCTTGTCAATTTAGCTGTTATTTATGTAGAGCAGGGGGCCTCCTGAACTGTACTGAGGGAAATCTGGGACCGAGAAGGAAATAGATCAGGAGGTGAGTAGTCAGCCTCTGAAATCCAGCAGGGACGGCCACAGTCAAATACCTGGGGGGACGTTTTACAAGCACGAGTAAACATTGGGGTAAACAACCTCTGTTGTTATACAATGACACAGAAGTACACTCCACAGCAGGAAAGTCAAATACGGACCTTCGATATGCTACCTATTTAGATGTAGAAAATGACTACAGAAAGTCAAGGAGTAGCGGGCTAATGCAGTTTGGAGGGCCAACCATTAGAGAGTGACTACAAGGCATTACATGGGGAATATTTTCATCTTTACTTTGAAATTTTACTAAAAAAAATGAAATAGTTTCTTTTTTACAGAAAATAAACCACATATGCCACTTGCTGCATAAATTCATTTTCTCCCTGAAACTTAGGGAACTTTCTGCGAAAAAAATCTAACTATGGTTTTACTAAACCTTTGATATAAGTGTGAAGAGATGGTAGTAGTGGGAAAAAAAATCTCAAAAGCATCAATAAAAATTATTACGTGAGAAACGTCATCTAGCCGTAGGTGACACACACTATATATATTGTATTACACAGTGAGTTTCACTTAATTTTAAATGGGGGTCATCAAATTACATCTCTGGCATGACAACAGATAACTGCAGAGATCAGGATGAAATCCTCCTTTCCCTGCAATATCCCAAACACCAACAAATCTCAAGTAGCTTGGCAAAAGTTGGCTTGCACTGCTTTGCCACCCTGCCCCCAAAACTGTAGCTACAGGTTCCCCACTACTATTGCTGGATAGCAGATACAATGGAGTAAAATAGTACAGTAAATCGAGTGTTCCTAGGCGTCGTTCTGGAGAAGGGGAAATAGGAATTTCGTTTGGTTTCTACCACAGTTACGATTCTCAGTCACTAAAGATTAGCTGATACTACAGCTTATCCCTTCCCTTGCTGTTGTAATGGTCAGCAGCAGACAGCACGGCAGGCGCTGCTGCAAGCACAGACAAGCTTAAGTGATGGGGAGTGATAAGAGTGCAGGAAAGTGTGAATGAAGAGATCCTGTTCTTCCACCAAGGCGTGAGAGCAGGTAAATTTATCCTGGTCTGGATTATTTATGTAATATTCCAAGACAGTCCAGCTTTAGGGGTGATGCCAAGTAACAAGCTACCAAAGAAGTTAAAAGAGGTGCCTTACTGCAGCAGTTTGAGGGAGGGGG